GCGTGGCTGAGTTCCTCTCTGGTCCGCGACCCGGCCAGACTGATAGGAAGTGCACACTCAGTGTGCACTTCCTATCAGTCCGGCCGGGTACAGGAAACAGAAATTCCTGTACCGCCGACCAAAGAGGAGCTTGGCCACGGTACAGGGAAGGGGAGGTGAGGCGAACACAGGGAGGGGGGGTGAGTAAGAAGAAAACAGGGAGAGGGAGGGGGAGTAAGAAGAAGAGGGGGGAAGGGGAGTAAGAAGAAGAGAGGAAGAGGGACTAAGAAGAAGAGCAAAAGAAAACAAGGAGGGGGTAAGAAGAAGGGGAGAGGCGAATAAGAAGGGAGGGTGTAAAGGAAGAGGGAGTGAGGAGTAAGAAGAATAGCGGAAGGGAGTAAGAAGAAAAACAGGGGGAGTAAGAAGAAGAAGGGGAGGAGAAAAGCAGGGGAAGCGGGAGTAGAAGAACAGGGAGGTAAGGAAGAACACGGAGGGGGGAATAAGAAGAACACAGGGAGGGAGGGTGAGAGAAGGTGAGATGAGGGAGAACAGGGAGTGAGAAGAAGAACACAGGGAGGGATAAGAGGGGAGGTAGAGGAGCACACACACACAGGGAGGTGAGGAGAAGACAGGGAGGGGGGAGGTGAGAAGAACACACGGGGGAGTGAGAAGAACACGGGAGAGGGGTTGAGGAGAAGGGGAGGTAAGGAGAACACAGGGAGGGTGTGGGGGTGAGAAGAACACAGGGAGGGTTAAGAAGAACACAGGGAGGGTGGGTGGGTGTGAGAAGAGACCACTAGGAGAGGGTGGGGGGTGAGGAGAGACCACTAAGAGGCAGGGGAGAGCTCTAAGGGACAGAAGGGAGAGCTCTATAGGAAAGGGGGCAGGATATGGAGCTCTTTCACACTACGCGCACACACACACAATGCATCCCTATACATACACAGAAACACGCAATGCATCCCTACACACACAGAAACACAACATGCTTCCCTTCCACACAGAGAAACACACAATGCATCCATTACACACACACACACACACAATGCAACCCTTACACACAAAGACAATGCATCCTTTGCACACATGCACATAAACACACAATGCATCCCTTACACACACATGCAAAAACATACACTGCTTCTTTTACATACACACAGAAACACAATGCATTTCTTACACACACTCAATGCACACACTTACAGACACACACCTTGCATCCCTTATGCATACAAACACAGATTCACTCAATGCATCCCTTACACACAAACAGAAACACACAATACATCCCTTATACACAGACACTTCCACTACACATAAACACACTGCATCACCTACACAAACTGCTATTCCTATACACTACATTCCATAAGCACACACATTAGATCCTCTACAATAACACATAACACATCCTCTACACACTCCACTCCCTGTGAGCGAACTCATGGGTGGAACATATAGGTGGACTTATGGGTGAGCCTTATGGGCATACTCACCGTCAGGCACTGGGGCCCAGACCTTGAGCTGTGTAAGAGGCCCCCAAAAATGGAGCTGCTTCCCGTTCTCCCAGAACATTGAATTTTGTGACCACAGTTACAAACAGCCTCCAGAGATCCTGTTCTACACCAGACCAGTGGAACCAAACTGTAGCCAGAGCCCATCACCATCCTCATCTGGTTGTAAGTAGGCAATCCAGTATATTATTAGTGACACTAATCTCTAATTTACCTCACATTAAAGGGACACTATAGTCCCCAGAACCACTGCAGCTTAATGAAGTGGTTCCGGTGTCTATAGCCGGTCCTTGCAGGCTTTTTACTGTAAACACACACTGTGTGCAGTACTGGTGTTAGTTCATATGGCAGATAATATGGGTGGGGCATTGTGATGTCACATGGGGGGGAGGGGGCGGTAAATTTTTCTTTTGCCTAAGGCGGCAAAAATCCTTGCACTGGCCCTGGGCTTGCGTTTCAGTTTTTTCACATTAAAATTTGCCAGATTGGTTACGTTCCCTTTGAGACCGTATGGTAGCCCAGGAATGAGAATTACCTCCATGATGGCATACCATTTGCAAAAGTAGACAACCCAGGGTATTGCAAATGGGGTATTTTCAGTCTTTTTTAGTTGCCACTTAGTCACTTAGAAATGCATTTTTAATAATTTAAATGTTAATTCTAATAGTAAAAAATCAATGTATCAGAATTACAAGTGATGATATTATTGGAAACAACTCTTACATAATGAATTAGCACTAATATATATATATACACATACACATATATACACACACACACACACACACACACACAGTTCCCCATAATTCTAATATCTGGTATTGGTGTTGTGTGTATTGCATTTAGAACATAGCTCCCACCATATTCTGACAACCCAGAGGTTGCACTTTAAAGATCCACTTTAAGAATAAACCTATTTAAAATTTAAATTTGTAAAACACTTGTTCTAGAGCAGAGTAACATGTTTTAAAAACTGTTTGTATATGCAAATTTATAATAAAAAATTATATATATATATATATATATATATATATATATAGTATCATATTCGATTGTAAAATAATCTTTAAGGAGCCATGACAAATGTTATTATGAGTGCTGAAAATGTTATAATTGGGAGTATTTCAGGTGCATGAATTGAGAATTGAAGTATGAAGCTGTGCAGGAATAGGAATCTTACCTGTCCAGGATATGAACATTAGCAAAATAACAGGAAAGTAGTCTGGTCTGCCTTTTAACCAAATGAAAACTGTACTTTTACCCTTACCCTCTCTAGACACACAAGGTTGTACATCACACGGTTTGCCAAGATCAAGGCTCTACCAGCATGTTAAACATTTCCATAACGGTGTCCTGAATCTTAAAGTGACACTATAGAGTTAGGAATAGAAATCTGTATTCCTAATGCTATAATTTTCCTGTACCTAGCTAGATGCAAGCCCCAATCATGTTCACTGTAAATTTACTCACGTTTTTACTTTAAATTTACTCGCTCCTCCTTGTGTGACGTTCAGGATAACGGTATATTCTAATGCTCCTCATAGAGGAGCAGTGAGGACCTTACGCGCATGTGTGGCTCTCACCAGACCTGCCAACTATTCTCTTGTCATGAGAATCATTAAATGCCTGGGTATGAGAGCAGGGAAGTAACAGTGCAATCTCTCCAACCTAGAGGGCTTGGAGGTGTGGCTTAAAGTCACACTTCCAAACTTTCTAAATATTAAACTAAAATGTTTTGGTGGCTATTACAAGGCACTATAACAACTTCAATTCAATTACATTTTCGAATGAGTACAGTGTTTCTCTAAAGGAATAATAGTCTATTGTAAGTAGTCTAACCACGTTTGAATGGTTTGACTTCTTACATGGGATATGCCAGGTGTCACTCCCCGCCCCCATTAAAGCCAATAGAGAGCCAGGAGGTTCTGCTTAAGCAGTAGCTAATAGCAAGTTAATTATCAAATGGCAATTTTAGCATGTTGGATTAAGTCATTTTAAAAATACACAGTACTGTCTCTTTTTAGTACTATTTTGTGGCAAATATATTTACAATGCTAATTTATATTCACTATTACAACAATAATTAATAATAATTATCTTTGTACTGCTTTGGCGATAAGAGTAAGGAAATATCTGATAGAATGTCTAACAGTTCCTTTTTACTTTTACTATTTCAGCCACTGAAGTATGTCTGGAGCTGCATAGTATGTCTCCCATATTTCTGTACCTTATAATTACTGATCCATCCAACAGTCTGTCACATAAAAAGCCTCAATCAGAACAATAGCGCCATGTGGGGAAAGAAAACCACACCCCTTATTGCGTGCTGTGTTTTAAACGGTAGAACAAAAACTATGTACAGCGCTATGGAATGTTTGGGGCATTTTAGAAATAATATGTTTTTACATTTTCATTCCAATCGACACACCTCTTTCATTTCTACATTGGACCCGGATTTTGTAAATATACTTGTCTTACAGGCAAATGACCTATGATGTCTCTCAGAATATCATCTAAACATTGTTGCCATTTTGAATACATAATAGTAAGAGTCAAGACCTTCAAGCACTTTTTTAGGAATAGGTTTAACTGAGAGAGAGCAGGAGACCACATTTACATAACATGTAAGATACAATAGTAACAACAATGTAAAAGACATTCAGTTTTGCCTGTCTTTTTTGGTGTGTAATTATAAATTACAAATTAATAAATTTAAAAATGGGAAGGTAGGAGACACAATTAAGTATTTGCAATATAATGCCTATATTTAGGGCATTTCTTTATCTAGTAATTAAAATTTAATGCAATACTACATTAATGCGTGATATTCTTAAAACTGATACAGATTTTAGTTTTATGTTTGATGTCCTTTTCATTGACTGTTAATCTTTCAATTAACGTATGACTATTATTACACACCAAAAAAGGCAGGCAAAAAAGAGCATGTTAAAAACATGAACATAATTAACTGAAATAAATGACCTATTGGATCGTGCAAAGCTAACAAAGTTTTGTTTACACTTATTTTCTGTGTTGTGTGGCTCCCTTCAACACAGGAGTTCATTTTTGGAGCATACTGGACGCAATTTAAATGTAGGAGGCGATTGACAGTAACTGAATATTAGGAAAAAAAAATATAGGAAATATATGTCATTTCACATGCTTACATAATTTCTAATTTTCTTGTTAACATATTTTAATATATCAAAGTACAAAACAACCTGGATTATAGGATCACACCTCCAAGGCATTCCTACATTGAGAGTGCGAGGTGATGACACAGAGTTCATTGCTCATGGTATGATTACCAACGTACGTTGCTCTGGTAACCAAAGGACTCAGAGATGTTATTGTTGCATCTAACCCTTCAGTACAGAACCTGCAAATAAATACATGGATGCCGAACTTTCACTAACTGTGCTAATGATGCAGTTTCATGCGTGGCATATACTATAAGAAATATAAAAAATACAAAATGAAGTTAACATAATGAGGTGATATATTAATAATTGTGGTAAAATAAATAAAATACTTAGAATGTATTTTGCCAGGTAGAATTACACTTTTGTAAGGTTTAAGGCTTATTGTGGAACACAGCGATACAAATAATATCGTTCTTTGTTGTAGGGTCATTCAGCCTCTAAAATGCGTCACTTCAAGCACCAAAACAACAGCACTCCAGATGTTGCAGACTACATCTCCCGTGAAACAATCTTCATATGTACCAGCGCAATAGTCTTAGGACAAGCAATCAGACAAAAAAAAATTAAGGTAGTAGTATGATAATTTATTCCAGTATAAAATATGTTACGGTAAAGCAAGACCATCATACATGTGTCTAGACCACCATCAATTCTGACATTTTGTATGGAAACCCATACTTAATCATATACTGGATGTGAGTAATATTTCTTTATTATTATACACCTCCCATGATGCTTTGCCAGAATCATGACTGTAAAAGCGTTATTTGAGAGACAGATAGAGAATGCTAATGGAGAATGTAGAAACTCAAATGTCAGAAACTGTTGGCAAGTCTATGTGAACACGGTTGATACAAATAGGAATGAGGCTGACAATAAACCCGTGGAACAGAAAAACGGACAGAGTGTAGTAGAGAAACTGGGAGGTGATGAAAGTGATTGGGGGGGGGTCAGGGACAAGTGCAGTTTGAGGTGAGAAATACAAACAAATCTGGGAAAAAGATCAACCAGAGAGATTTGCAAGAACATTTTTAAGGACACACAAACTGATGAAATATTATTATTGTATAAGTGTAGTGATGTTGCGAACATAAAATTTTCGGTTCGCAAACGCGAACTTCCGCAAATGTTCGCGAACGGGCGAACCGCCATAGACTTCAATAGGCAGGCGGATTTTAAAACCCACAGGGGCTCTTTCTGGCCACAATAGTGATGGAAAATTTGTTTCAAGGGGACTAACACCTGGACTGTGGCATGCCGGAGGGGGATCCATGGCAAAACTCACATGAAAAATTACATAGTTGATGCAGAGTCTGGTTTTAATCCATAAAGGGCATAAATCACCTAACATTCCTAAATTGTTTGGAATAACGTGCTTTAAAACATCAGGTATGATGTTGTATCGATCAGGTAGTGTAAGGGTTACGCCCGCTTCACAGTGACAGACCAAACTCCCCGTTTAACGCACCGCAAACAACCGCAAACAGTCCATGAGGGTGGTGGGGGTGAGGGTGGGGGGTGGTGATGCTGAGGGTGGTGGGGGGAGGCTGAGGGTGGTGGGGGCTGGTGATGCTGAGGGTGGTGGGGGGAAGCTGAGGGTGGTTGGGGGTGGTGATGCTGAGGGTGGTGATGCTGAGGGTGGTGATGCTGAGGGTGGTGTGGGGGGTGGGGAGCTGAGGTGGTGGGGGGCAGTGAGGCTGAGGGTGGTGGGGTGGTGATGCTGAGGTGGGGGGGGTGATGCTGAGGGGTAGTGAGGCTGAGGGTGTGGGGGTAGTGAGGCTGAGGGTGTGGGGTGTAGTGAGGCTGAGGGTGTGGGGGTAGTGAGGCTGGGGTAGTGAGGCTGATGGTGGTGGCTGGGGTGGTGATGCTGAGGTGGTGGGGGATGGTGATGGTGGGGGTAGTGATGCTGAGGGTGGTGGGGGTGGTGGTGGGGGGTAGTGAGGCTGAGGGTGGTGGGGGGTAGTGAGGCTGGTGGTGTGGGGGTAGTGAGGCTGAGGGTGTGGGGGGTAGTGAGGTCAGAGAGATCAGATGAGTCCTTCAGGACTGTAGTGGACACTGAATACACTAGCCTAGCTATCAATTTCCCTATCAAATCAGCAGCAGCTACACTGTCCCTCCTCTCACTAAGAATGCAGCTTCACAATGAATGTAAAATGGATGCTGTCCAGGAGGTGGGAGGGTCTGGGAGGGAGGGTCTGCTGCTGATTGGCTGGAATGTGTCTGCTGACTGTGAGGTACAGGGTCAAAGTTTACTCAATGATGATGAATAGGGGGCGGACCGAACAGCGCATATGTTCGCCATCCGTGGCGAACGCGAACAAGCGATGTTCTCCGGGAACTATTCGCCTGCGAACTGTCCGGGATATCACTATATAATTGTCACCAGTTCAATTTAAATCAGTTTGATTATCTGTTGCTTCACAAACTCTCTGTTGCGTTTTTTATCCATTTGCAAGTTCTGATCTTTGCCTCCATCCAACTATATTTGGGTTGGTAGCCAAAGTCCCTGAAAGCCTTATCAGTTTCATAGGAAAATGTAGTGACAGCAAAATTCAAAGTGTTTGAAGTCAGAAATGGGTTCAGTGTATAAAAAGGTCTTACTAGGAATGCAACAATATTAAAAATTGATATAATTAACCACATCTGCCAGTAAGGAATGTGTGAGCCCAGTTGCATTCTTGGGTCAAGATCGGTGTATAATTCGTAAAGGAGTTTGTATCTCTGCCTCACTGGAGTGTCGTCATAGGGATAGTACACTTGACCTCCCAGGAGTTCCGGCTTCATCTGCAGTTGCCGAGCAGCAAGTACATGCATCCAGGCCACATTACCTGTAATCAACATGGACAGACAGTAGTTAGATCATCCATCCATTTATTTGTCTGCCCATCGTCCAGCCGTCGATATAAACAAATGTGTTATTTAACCCCTTGCAGACCAGGGATTTTATTTTAATGCGTTGTGTTCATTAGTGACCCAAACCTATTTAAACCTTTTGTTCTGTGTTCTTTTTCATCATTTTAATTTAACATTTTATGCTTAAGTGCACCCATACATATTATATTATGGACTTTTGATACTCTATACATATGCTTAACACAACACATAAATAAAATATTTTTTAAATGATGGGGAGCTCCCCTAAAAACATGTTTCACAGTTTTGCTTAAAATAGTTTCTACACAAGTATGAGTATGATGAAAAAAAAAAAGAACTCAATATGGATTATTGTTAAAATGCCAAATATGTCTAGGATTTTAATATATTTTTAGCGAATCATGGCTTTAAAGCTATAGCTAGGGGTTGAATGATACACATGGTGGGGGTGGAATGAGACACATTGAGGGTTAGGGGGGTGAAACACATGGAGGGGAAAGGGGAGAGAATGAGACAGATGGAGGGGCTGAGGGGGAATGAGACACATGGAGGGGTTGGGGTGAGAATTAGACACATGGAGGGGCTGGGAGGAAGAATTAGACACATGGAGGAGCGGGGGAGAATGAGACACATGGAGGGACTGGGGGGGAATGAGACACATGGAGGAGGGAAATGAGACACATAGAATGGAGTGTCTGGGAGGAGAGAAAGAGAATGAGACACATAGGTGCTGGGGAAGGAGCAAAAGAGAACAACAAGAGAAGGGGCAAAAGAGACAAACAGGGGGGTAGAGAAACCCAGAAGGTTGGGGGACACAGAGGGACTCTGGGGAGAAAGAAGCAAGGTGCTTGAGGGATAAAGAGACATTGAGGGGGAGGGGAAGTAGGGGAAGTAGAGAAAGAGATACACAAAGGGGGCTGAAGGAAACAAAACATATAGGGGTGGGGAGGGGAAAAGAGATACACAAAAGGGACTTGGGGAAGAGGCACACAGAATGAATGGGGAAGGGGAGAAAGAGACATAAAAATGGGCTGGGGTAGAAAGAGACATACAAAGGGACTGGAGGGGAGCAAGAGACACACAGAGGGGCTAAAGGAAAATAAGATGTGCACATAGGGAAAATGGTGGATAAGATATAAGGGGAATAAGGGGAGTGTAAGACAAAAAGGGGATAAGATACACTAAAAGTGTTAATACATTAAAAAAAAAAGAGGATAAGAAACACAAAAGGGGGTAAGAAATTCAAGAGGGGAATTAAGGGAGACACAGGTGAAGATGCACAGGTGCATGCCGTCCATTAGAAATAGCAACCAAAAATGATCTGTTGGCAACTGAGAGCAGCTACTCAATGTAAACCTGGATATTAACCTATTAAGAGGGCCAGCAAAACTGGCTTAGTACTTAGCTCTTTAACATTTTAAGGTATCTACATATAAAATATAACATGTAACAGAAATAAGTCATATATAAAAGGTCCAAGAGGACCAAGTCATATGCTGATCACAGATAAACTACCACAACATCACATTTTAAGCCTAAGTACTAGATAGCATTAAAGGACCACTTCAGCCCCCATAACAACTTCATCATTATGAAGTTGTTATGGCTTCCAGAGGTTTTGGGTCTGTCTTAACTTATGGGATTCAACTATTTTCGACCAATTTAACTCCAAAGTTCTCTTTGTGGTGGCCTTCTGCTCAACCTCTCTGCTTCCTCCCTGGATAGTCCCAGCACTAAATGTGGAAGTTTTTCCTTTTCTGAGAACTTTGTCCAATGCTCTCAGACTACCAATTGTCACAATTGAGAGAACTGCTTTAGCAAGGTATGCACATATGTATGGCCAGTCTGGGAAAATAACATGCACTCAACGCCTTCAAGGAACACTATAGTCACCGAGACCACGTCATCTCAATAAAGTGATTTGATTTCCGTGTTCCTGTCTCCTTAACCCTGCAATATAAAATATTGCATTTTTTGGGAAACTGTAATGTTCGCAGTGGAGGGTTAAGTACCCCATGAGAGGCACCTCTGATGCACTGATAGAGTAAAACACTATCATGTGATGCACAGACCCCATTGGAAAGTATTAATCCAAAGCTTTCCTATGGGAATGTTTAAATGTGCACAAAGGCTTCAACGCTCCTCTATGAGTAGGTAAAGCAGGGAGCAAAAGTAAGTAACACCGAGAGAGCCTCAGAACTGGAACAAGGTGAGTAAGACTTTTTTTATCCCTCTTTTTATGCCGAATGGTAGGGACCTATTTAGGTAGAGGGACACTGTAGCGTTAGGAATACAAACAGGCATTCCTTACACTGTAGTGTTCCTTTAAGTACAAATGCATCTTTACAAATAGCCTAAAAGCTAAAAATGCAGCCTAAAACGACAATAGACAGCAATACCTATACAGTAAAAATATATTAATGAACCAGAAGAAAATGCAGTTATAGTAAAATATGTCCAAATATGTCCAAAGCAAATGAAACATGTCTAAAGTCCATAGAGTATAAACATCCAAATTGGCTGAAATCAATAATGAGTGACCGTGCTGAATTGATACAAGATAAGAGAGTTTTTAAACCATCCTATAGTTAGATGGGGTCATGTTGACTCCATTGGTTTCCATTGTATATTTTTACTCTGGATGGCTAGCAAACTCTGGCTAGCAGCTCCATGATTTAAGCCTCGTGCTGATTAGGGTTTTCCAATTATTTGTGGGCTGGCAGGAAGAAGCAGAACCTTGTTGGGGTCGGCAAGAAAATTCTATTGGCCTGGGGAGCATAAAATTAAATCTAGGCCTGCTAAAGAAGTTTTATTTCTGTTTCAAATGTTTTTATTAATGAATTTTCAATAAAAAATAAATTACTAATAGTAACAGGAGAATAATTGTAACTAACATGATCCGATCATAAGAAAGCCTCCTATAAAAAAAAATATATATAAACAATTTCAATGTTCATATATATGAATCATGTTACAATTTGTATATAGAGCCGTTTGGTTGGATGTGGTGTAGTTGATACTTATAAGCCAAAACGACCTCAGACGTCCCTTTCCTAGCTCATCCAATCTTGTCTCAGCGATTCTAAAACCACAGAAGGAGTCTGAAAGACTAGTCCATAACACTTTGACTCGAATGTGCTACACAACACCTCTGTCATGGATAGAATGGTGTCAGACTTCCAATACCTGGGAATAGCTGAAGACGCTGAAATTAATACATGACCTAACCTAATAATTTTAACTTTAGGTAAACCATCTGGAGACACAACTCAGGTGTAATGTGTGGGATGTGATATGTAATATGTTGTATAAGTGTGTGTATATTGGCCCAATATGTTCTTAGTTTAGGACATGTCCAAAATATGTGTAATAGTGTGCCTACTTGTCCGCACCCTCTCCAGCATGCATTAGTAGGGGATAAGGCTAACTTAAATAATTTGGAAGGAGTAAGTTATCATCTTAAAATGAGTTTGTAATGGGATTCTAAAAGTGCCACAGACTGCGTTATGCTATGTAGCACCAATAGAAGCCCATGCCACTCTTCAATAGTAAATTTTTATATTCAGTTCTCTTTCCCACTTTATCATGTAGTCCAATTTTGGACCAGGTTCCCCAGCAAAATAAGCATTGCACATTTCTAGATTACACATGTTTACTTTACGTTCTATCCAAGACGTTAAAGTGTTCACTAAGCAAATTTACCATTTGTCTATACATTGGGGCAACAGAGGCGTCTTGGCCACATTTGTCCTGTAACTGGTCAAAAGTTAAAAAGGAATTGGACAAAAAGAAATCATTAATATGTATGACAGAGTGGGAAAGCCAATATTCCACATCTAAGTCAGGTAATGCAGATTGCAACCCTGATAAGCTCTGGACCAGGTAGTGGAAGGGTTAATCTTAGTGTATAACACTAGCCTTAATAGTGGCTTTGGTAGTTGGATACATGTTTAAGCAGTTTCCTTTCTATCTGCTGTGAAGGACAGGAAATAAGACTGCCTGATAGGGAGTGGGTAGTGATATATATATATATATATAAATCCAAATAGGTTATGGTGAGGAAAAATTGTGATTGAAAACCCCTTCCACCAGTAACCAACTTCATGCTGACGAGTTGCATTAACAACGAAACAGCTGTCCATGAGTGGTTCACTGGTTTTGCATCTTTTCCTAAATTGTGTTTCAAACTGTTGAATACAGCAAACACAGATTAAAATGAAATGAGGCAAAAATGTGATTCTTTGTTAAACTAATTTGCATATGCCCACCCAGAATCCTTTGCAGTTGTAACATCGCTGCAGTTATGGGATTTCTGTGGGAAAAGCAAGTTTTATGGCTTGACTGGTGTGCAGATTTTTTGTTTAACATTGTATTAATTATATATATATATATATATATATATATATATATATATATACACACACATTTATATATACACCGTATATTTCCGTGAATAAGACGCCCCCATGTATAAGACAACCCCTTTTATTTTAGCCCAAAATTAAGAAATAAATATTTCAAACATCAAACAGAACGACTTTGATATTTTATTAAATATTCAAAGCACCGGTATATTTAGTGTAACTGCAGTGTAGCTGCAGCTCCAGCTCTCCCGCCTGTGCACTTTACTCTTGATATTTACGGGATGTACCGTATTTACTCCCCGAGTACCTATTTAATTTTAACATTCTGCCGGCTGCCTAAGTGTCACAAGAGAGTGCATGGGGAATGGGGGACCTGGACTTAGCAGTGATTGCGACTGACCTGGTGAGTGTTCAACGTGTTGCAGCCCATGCAAGATATTCCCCTTTGCCCACTCTTGATCAGTAGCTGATATTAGAATTTCTTGTCACAGACTCGCCTGTCTGAGCCCCCATGTGCTGATTTTTAGGTCCGTCCAGCTGGACGTCGCTTCCCGCTTGGAGACCAGTGCCCAGGTGCAGATCCCTGTTAGGACCAGGGTCTAGGGAGGCTGCAACCGGCATTTAAAACCATGCTTTCGGCGTGTGTAAGCCCTTCCGAGCCGCTTCCTTTTGCTGCCATAGGTGCCCTAACAGGGCCCCTGTCAGGTAGAAAACTATAAACAGGAACGCGCTCTCAGACAACCACAAGGGAAACCACGACAGGGCACTGAGCAGGCTGAGAACTGGGCCTAAATATCCCTCCTTTAGTTCTGATAGGCTGTAACCGGCCTTTGACCCCAAAGTCAGTTACCAGGTTTCATTTGCATAATTGCTGCTCAGCATTAATCCTTCTGTGGATTAGGTTGCTGCTCGGCACAACTTTTCCTGTGTGGACAGTAAATGTCATTAATCACTTTTCTCTAAGCGGATGAATACATGACACCAGGTTTCATTTGCACAATTACTGCTCAGCATTAACCCTTCTGTGGATTAGGTTGCTGCTCGGCACAACCTTTCCTGTTTGGACAGTAAATGTCATTAACCACATTTCTAGAAGCGGATGAATATGTGACAGCCCCTTGGAGCAGGGCGTGAGTTGTTGTGTCTTCTTAAAGTACCTATTTAATTTTAACATTCCGCCGGCTCCCTGAGTGCTGAAAGAGTGTGCATGGGGAATGGGGGTCTTGGACTGAGCAGCTGTGCCTGACCGGGTGAGTGTTCTTGGGGAATAGGGGACCTTGGCAGCCAGGGAACACCTATTTGACTTTTAACATTCGGTGTATAAGACGACCACCCAAATTTAAACTTGAAACATTTTTGAAAAAATATTGTCTTATACATGGAAAAATACGGTATCTAATAATTTCACAGTCCTATTTCCCGTAATTTCTGTTTTGAGGGGAGGAGCTACCCATTAGTTAATGCTGCCACGGCTTGATCACGAAATTACTTATAGAGTAAGGTTTATTTTAAGTTTGTGTTGGTGTTCGGCCTGCTACCCAGAGGTTTTTTTTTTGTGTTACCATTAACATGTACTATGGACTGATATATAGGAATCAGATAAAAATAAATAAATATGCACCCATTTTAATAATAAAAAATAAAATACATGAGCATTGGATGTCAATATCTTGCTTTTCTTAAGGTTACTACGCCACCTAATGGAAAAACATAAAATTCCATATTTTTTTATCCACTATTTTCAAATTTTCTTGCATGCAAAAAAATAAATAAAATAAAATAAAAATAAATCCTATCTACAAATTTTGTGTAATTACAAATCAAAAGTAGTATCTCTTTTGTCCTCAGAGAAAGCTCAGCTGTGCTTCAATGGACGTCTTTCCCTCGATAAACATGTAGGTGTATAAACCGTACCAGATTCCCTCAAGTCAGGTTCTGGATAAAGTGAAAGTCTATTGTAATATACTAGGATGGATGACTGAGAATGATAGGCGTGTGATTGCTATCAGCAATCACACACCTATCAGTAACAGCACTATACATGCTAGGATCTTAGTGATCCCAGCATGTACTGGCTGTCAGAGGGTGATAGGAGTGTGATTGGTGTCAACATGGGGTGCCAGATTTGTGTAGAAATGTGTTGCTTTTTCAAACCTTTAAATGTACAGAATATCAGCACTGGTTTTTGTCAACAGGCCCGATAGGCGACCGATAATATCGGCTCCGGAAATATCATATTGGTCAATGCATAGTTTTCAGCATACTCACCTCCTTCATGATAGTTGTCGTGCCGCCATTAACCCACCTATGTGGGCAGAAATCCTCTTCTCTGAACTGCCTCTGTGTGGGAAGCAGTAAACTGGAACTCATTAAACCAGGGCCTAAGAGGACAGTCTGAGAATCACCTAGAGCAGTGATAGCGAACCTATGGCATGCGTGCCACAGGTGGCACGCTGAGCCCTCTCTGTGGGCATGCGGCAATAGGTCGCTGGAGGGGGCCGCTGGCGCCAGTCAGCAGCAATGCAGAGTAGGCACCTGCCTGCCCAAAACATCAGACGCCTACTCTGCTTTTGTATCTGAAGGACCTGGAGGCAGGGGGAAGGATCTGGAAAGCAGCTCTCCTGTCCTCCCGCGAGCAGGCTGAGTGGAGCATTGCCATGCGTTACCATGGCAACGCTCCACACAGCATTGCGTGGGAGGACAGGAGAGCTGCAGCCAGACACATACTTATCACACCGGACCACCAGGGCTGGCTATGTCCCTCCCTCCTTCACCAAGATTTTATGTATAGGTCAGGATGACTTAAAAAAACACAAAAAAAAACACATTTGCTACCTGCAGCACCCCCCCCCACACACAGAACGCCTCCCCCACACATCACCCCTCCCCCCACACACACAGCACTCCCCCACACACACAGCACTCCTCACACACAGCACCCCACACACAGCACCCCTCACACACAGCACTCCACACACACACACACACACTCTGCACCGTATACACAAACACATACACTGCACCCCTCAATGCAGTATGTATATGTGTGTATTCAGCAGTCTGTATGTATTCAGCAGTCTGTGTGTGTGTGTATTCAGCAGTCTGTCTGTGTGGTTGTGTGTATGTATTCAACAGACTGTATGTATGTATTCACATTTGGAAGAAATATAGCCAGCTCAGGTGTGAAGAGCGTACAGCGGTATGATCCCCGCTTATGGGATATATGGTGGTAGTCTTCTGGAAGAGGTGGTGTCCAACACTCAGGAGAAGGGTATATAAAAAAACAACTGATAGTGCTCTCAGTGTATACAGGATATTAAAATGAACATGAATAAAAAATGTACTTACAAGTATAGTATATCAGCGTTGGTGGTATGATACCCACCTCGGATAAACTTGTAGTCACACAATAAAATAGGTAGAAGCCAGGTAAAAACATCAAATTGTGTATTAAAAAAGATAATTGGCACAAAGTAGTGACCAAAAAACCTTTTAATTAGATAAAATACACATACAATATTACCACCTAAGGAAAGCATTGGATTGGCTGGGATTGGCAAGGAGGCGGCATGGGGGTGGGTACAAACGTCAGCTTGGCAAAGCAGGACCTCCTCATTAAGATGCATTGAATCAATGCATCTCTATGGGGAAAGTTCAGCGTTTCCATGCATAGCGTGGAGACGCTGAATGTCAGTGCTGCACATTGTGCACATTGTGCAGCACTGCCCCAGGAAGAACCTCCAGTGGCCATAGGAGGTGTCCCTAGGCTTTAATGTAAACACTGCCTTTTATCTGAAATACCTGCAGGGACTGACTATACTCACCAAAACAACTGCATTAACCCCTTAAGGACCAAACTTCTGGAATAAAAGGGAATCATGACATGTCACACATGTCATGTGTCCTTAAGGGGTTAAGCTATAGATGTTCTGTTGACTCTTTAATGCTGTGTTATGCATACCTATAGGATATTAAAAGAAAACCCTTATAAAAATGAAATATAATATGTAATATGTATGGAAGCACTTAAAGAGAAACCCTTAATTACAGTGGAACAAACACAAAGCAAAGGTTTTGTTTTGGTTCAGAACTTTTACCTCAATCCTTAAGGGGTTAAAGGACAACTGTCATCAAATGTTCACTTCTCATTTTTTAAAAAGTTTACTACATTTAATGAAACTTAATAATATATTTTTGAATATTGTTTTGTTATAGACAATTTTTACTTTTTATCTGACTAAGCAGGCATATTGGGTCAGACACTATTGTTACTTTGACCAACTACTACTCAGCCTAAAGTGTCTGCAACTGTGATTGTTCTATGTGAAACTGCAGCAGCAGGCAATTTGGGTTGAACTGCAGTTGGTGAGATTACATTTTCTCCAAACAAATTCTTCACCATATCAATATATCTCATTAAACAAACAATATTATTAAGCTTCATTAAAGGGACACTGTAGGCACCCAGACCACTTCAGCTCATTGAAGTGATCTGGGTGCAATGCCCCATGTCCCATAACCCTGCAGTGGCAATTATTGCAATTTCTACCAGACAGCCACCAGAGGGACTTCCGGGTGCTTAGACGTCTTTTGGTCTTCTAAATGACGCTGGAGGTCCTCACACTATGCATGAGGACTCTTCCAGCGTCACCAGAATCCCCATATGAAAGCATTGATTCATGCTTTCCGATGGGAAAATAGTAATATTAATTGCTTTATTTTCCTGGCACTATAAAATCCCTTTAAATGCAATAACCTTTTAAAAAGCGAGAAGTGAAATTACCATAACAGCTACAGATAATTGTAGTACCTCTCTCCTGCGACTTAAATAATGAAGAAGATTCACCTCGACATTATCAGTTGAACCTTGGATGGTAATGATCAGTTGTTAGTGCTGGGTTGCCTTGCCTCAAGTGCTTGCAGCCTATCATATTGTTCAAGGTCGGTTAGCCTTGGCCAAATACTGCAGAGGTGAATATTCTGCATGATTTAAGTAGCTGCACATTGGGTAGAAATGGAGATACTGTTTTTCAAATTGATCGAAAAATAGTTTGACAGAGGATAGAAGGACAACACCCAAAGACTCAAAACCACTGTAAAAGACTGCAGTGGTTATGGTGCAATTAGAAGTATTTCTATTTAATGCACTTTGACTTACCTACATATGTGTAGTTTTGATCTAGATTTTCAGGCTCAATATAGGCTATGCGGTAATTTTTAGATTTTGCGGACACATAGCCGTCCAGTAGACTGCTTGTTTTTTCCCCGTATATGTTGCTTGGTCTAATAACACAAGTCGTTAATGTTTTCCCATGGTTTGTCTGTAAAGTAATCAGAGGGGGAGAAATGTGAATGCTGTTAACATTTGCTGCCAGTTCACTTCTTAATAGATTCTCAAATGTTTTGTTACTCTATGTAACTACTACAGGGCAGGGACAATGGAAGAGCATTAGAGCTATGCATCACTAAGACATTTATATGTCTACATACATTTACCAAGTGTCTTAGCCAACAAAAAAACACTAAAAGACAATATTACAAGCAGCCCTGTGTATTAAAAACATACACAGTTCAAAGATATATGCATTTTAGTGCACATGGACAGAGTGGAGTAGTCTGCAAAAAATAGTCCGTATTTTTAAAATGCAGTTCCAAAATGAACAATTCGGACCTTTGTTTTCGGTCGGGCGGCGCTGGCGAGGGAGCACTTTCCCCTGAGCGCTCTGCTCAGCTCCCTCGCGCAGCAGAATGATGACATCATATTCCGGCTCCCGGCATCACTCTACAGTGCGCGAGGGAGCTAAACAGACAGCTCAGGGCAAAGTGCTCCCTCGCCAGCGCCGCCCGACCGCCTGCCTGCCTGGCTTGTCAGTTAGCAGCAAGGCTAACAAGACATTTGCCCTGTGCATTTGGGGTCGTTTTTTTTGCCGCAACCTGGAAAGTGCCGCCCAAGGCAAATGCCTTGTTTGCCTCGCGGCTAATACGTCCCTGGACAGACTAGCAAGTACAATGCAGTTTTGAGATATAATCCAGTGCCTCCTTACCAGTCTGCTATTAGCTGCTCGTATTAATTTTTCAGCCTGAGCCTTTGTCTTCCCATAGGGCATTCCTTGTTCACCAGTGTAAAATGTATCTTCTGTGCCTCTAGACAATAACAAAGACTTTAGTACGTAAGACACCAGAAGACTTATGTATTCGTTTTTTGTCTCTAGCAGACCTGTCTGTTTGGACTGTAAAGCTACTAGTTCTTTAACTGCAGATGTTGACAAAAGGGAGAGAAATGAGTATAACAAGACCTTAAAGTGGCTGTCTTTAATTTGAAAGAAAGAAACTACAAGGTATAACTTGCGAAATAAAAAAAATAATAAACAGGCCAAAGTCAAGATTCGAAACAGTGACCAAGTCAGACTCGCCAAGTTCAGGCAGGAAGCAAGTGACAATGGTCAGTGAAAAAGCCAAGTCATGAAAACCGATATCAGGAACATTATAAGATAGTCAAATCGAAACAAGAACAAACTGCAACTATAAGGACAATGAGCTGGTAATGATCCAGTAGAGAGTATGGTCTCAAGGGTCAAGATCTCTTAGGTCAAATGACGTGCATCGAACCCGAAGCACCGGAAAGTCATGTACTGTCACCAATAAGGCATAGAACATTGAGTGTCAAAATTGCTAGGGATGTGAGAATGTTGCGTCAAAGTAGGAAGTGAGTGTACATTGCCCAGCATTAACCAAGCCAAAAACACAAGGACGACATGGGCGTAAGGTGCACCTGAAAAGGACTATCTAATGTAAGCTGATCTTCTATAAGTATTTAAGAGACAAAATGTTCCCTCTTCAACAAAATTTCCCAAACCCATCAAGCATGTTGTGTGCTCTGCCTTTACTCATTGTTATTCAGACTACACAAATAGGTTTAACAGAATACTCCAAGCACCATAACTATTACAGTGTCCAGTAGTTTCTCTGTTGCTCTCTGTTTTGTTACCTGTCCTCCTATAGACTCTAAGCTAGTTTGCAGGGTCTAAAATAACCTTGTGTTTTTCTTCAACACATAGTATTTTGTTTCTTATTAACTGGTGTATTCCCACATTAAACATGTAAAGCGCTGCAGAAATGTTGGAGCTCAATAAATATTGTTATTTCAAGACAAGGCAGCTATGTCAATAATTCAGTCAGCATTGTAATAATCTTTAAACAAAGATGAAAGCCCTACATTACACGCTAGTCTTACCTGAACATGGGCTCATTGTGCTTATTAGGTCCTACTGCCGCTATAGAGCCAGTGAACACGAGATAGGTGACATCTGAGGCCAAACAAGCATTTATAACATGCTCAGTTCCTATAAGACATTGCATTTTTACTTTTTATTATAATACCTATGTACAGGGACATTGTTTATCTCTTATAGCTAGCATCAAATGGCTCAAGATCCATAGGCTACCATTTTGAAACAATATTTTGCTTGTGCCTTCTTGGGTTATGTACAGATTCTATTTATTTATAACCATAAAATGTTTGCTTAGTCCTTGGTAGGATACAGCACAGTGTATAGCCACTAAAAGTTTGTATCTCCTGCTAGTTCTAAATAAAACACACTGTGCAATATAGGAAGTTTAAAAATTAGACCTCTGTTAATGGATGTGTGTAGGGAGACTGTGCAAATCACAGCCAGGGGAGGAGTGGCTAGGACTTCATAAACAAAAGTGTTTTAATTCCTAAATGGGCAAAATTTGAGCAGTACTACTGCAGTGTCAGGATCTATACACCAAAACCACTTTATTAAGCTACAGTTGTTTTGGTGCTTAGAATGTCCCTTTAAGTATTAATTAATGTGTTCTCATCATTGGATATTATAAAATGTTATACAGGGATATGGTCATAATAAATTAGTCAGCAAATATGTCACCTGTATCTTTAACTGGGTACAATGTAGATGCAGGTTACAGCTATGAGTGTCAGATGTGCTAATCTATCTAATCACACATATTGGAATAACAATTTAAGAAGAAAGGTAAAAATTAAACAATCCATACCGCCAACATTAATTGCTTCCATTTTGTGATAAGGCGATTGATCAAAATAATCTAGAAGAGCTGCAGTATGAATCACAACATGAACTCCTTCAATTGCTTTAAGGACTTGATTATAGTCTGTGACATCACCTTTAACCAGTGTAACAGTTGTGTTAGCTGCAAAAAAATAAATAAAAAAAATACATATATATTAGGGTGTAGCTTTGAATCTGTACTCGAACTGCAACATTTGAAAAATAAGTGAATTGAATGAAAAATGTCAGATTTGTGTGGAAGGCACAGGATCTGATTCAGGGATGGATTTATGTCATGTACCCGTAGGCACATAATTCTAAGGAGCCTCCTGCTCCCCAACCCCAAAAAGGCAATACATAGAGTATAAAGATGAAAAGATATTGAGAGGGGTTAAAGTTGTATTATAAAGGCTGTTTAGGATTATTGAATTTAGGGTTAAAGTATGAATGCAATATTTAGGTACAAGGTTGTTTCAGTTTTATGAATAGTTAAACATAGGAGTACGGTAAATGTTTTTTTTCCTCTGGGTTTGGGCATTAAGTGCTTAAATGGACACACTACGGCCAACATAATAAACAATTTTTTTTTTAAACTGTTTAGTAGATATTCATTTAAATGAGAACATGCGTGCATTGAAGTGTGCATTTTTTTCACAGGTGTATATCTAAAAAAACAAATGCAAAAGCTGCAGATCTCTTCTCTGCTGCTTTTATGAGCCCTCCTCGTCTTTGCAAGGCAGATGCTCTGGGCAATCGCCTGCCTCTTGAGTTTAGCTCCACTGAGAACCAGACAGGTTGTCAGATAGAAAGCCAAAGGGATGTAACAATAAATTTAGAAATTTCTACTTTTTGTAAAAAAATAAAATAAAAAAAGACACACTCTTCACATATGAAGCATTTCAGCAAGCTAAAGCGCTTTAGGGAGTGTCCCTATAAATTTGGCACTAAGGGATGAGTTTCTTTAGTTTTTAGGAGGCGTTAAATAAAGGATTAAGGGAAAGTGGTGTTTAGGGCATGTGGAGTTTGGAGTTTTTTTTTGCAAAATATTCACCCTTCTATATCTTCTGTAGACCAGTCAGTCTCCTATGACTAATATTAGAGGGGCAGGAGTGGTTATACAGTGTGCGCCACTGAGAGCTTCCTTTACAATGGATTTCCTGTGTGACAGTGTGAGAGGCTGTTAGTGGGCATGTGGGAAGTAATCCCTTCCTCTTCCTGTCCAGCCTCACACTTAGACACTGGAGGAGCTGGGACAACACTGAGTTTTACACCCTCTGAATTGTTCCGGTAGGTCTGCTATTTAAGGAAGACTACAGACACCCAGGACACTTCTTCTCATTGAAGTGGTCCGGGCGACGTGTCCCTATTCTTGTAAAAACTGCAGTGTTTACATTACAGGGGTAAGTCCATCCCTAGTGGCTGTCAGTATGACGGCCACTAGAGACGCACCATTGCACTGACCAAGTGCCTAAACGGGAACTAGTAATTCACAAACGGAGGATACCGCATTCACACTTAGGAATCCAGGTGCTTATCAGGGCCAGGTTTGGCAAAACCCAGTTTCGTAGATAAAATAAATTAGGTCCAGACACTTAGGATTGCTGCAGGAAGGCAGGTTTATTAGAACAAAAAAGTGCAACTGGTCATTTATAAAAATTTTAATACTGGATATTGTTGCTTTAGGTCTTTAACATCTCTAACATTGATCTTCACTTATATCATCATAATTACCTGTGCTGAGCTTTTCGAGTTCACTTCCCTTTCTGGTGTGATAAAGAACCCTCACCTCCTTTACATAGTCTTCTGTGACCAACAATCTGACAATGTGTTCTCCTATGTACCCGCATCCTCCTGTCACCAGGTACACCAGGTCCATAGCCATTTCTCCAAATACCTTATATTGCTGTTTAAAGCATAAAATACAAACAATAAGAAAGTGTTATATATAAACAAAATTATTGTATTATATATATATATATATATATATATATATATATATATATATATTGTGACAGAAAGCAAGGAATTGTGCTGGAAGGAACCTATATACCTCCCCAGATTTTGCAAGGTTCTTACTTTGTGTAATTAGCCCCAGGGAAATGTGTTATGTTCTAATGAATGTTGCACTTTAAATATGTGTATATTTGGGCCCTGGGGTGGAGCACCTGGAGAGTAGGGTGGGCCAGTGCTCCACTCCACATTTTGGAAGTTGCTTGGTGAGAAGTCCAGTTCTGGAGTTTGAATCCTAATCTAACTCACCTGAAAAGGATTGTCAATTACCAGTGCTATTAAGTACTCCCCTGCCAAGGAAGAAGAGAGATTGTGTTTGGTTTCTGTGAGTGGAAACAGAGAGCTGAAAACCCTGAAGCAGTAAGGCTGTTTATGTTTATGTTTATGTTTATGTTTATGTTGGGAAATGGACAAGCCCCTCCCGAGATCAGGCTCTGGATCCGCCACTGGCCTGAAAAGACTGTGTGTAACACCCCAATCCCAGGACAAGGTACCAAGGGAAAGGAGTACTTTTGTCACAATATATATATATATATAATACATTGGCCTTGTGCTGAAGATGATTTATAGCATCTCATTTCCATGGTATAGCAACTTTATCATGTATTTTGTGAATTTTGAATTTATTTATTTTTTATCTGGAAAGTTCTTATGCTTCCAATCATTAGCAGTTTATGGTCATTTTTATGGTGTATGTTTTATATTGTTTATGAATAAAGATGGATTTTTTGTATGCAAAAAAGTAGAAAGAAGGACTCTAGACCATCTAGACTCAATTTTATCACGACAGGAAGCTTCGTATTTTGCATAATCTTTCTTTACTAACTCCATAGCAGCAAAGAAAAGAGTGACATAACTGAGAATCAATCACAATGCAGTGTAGAGTACAAGAGGTGTAACGTATGACATCATTTCCTCTTTCTTTGCTGCTCCATCACAAGATAAGTACAGACTTGGTTTCCCTGTCCTTACACTATTTGTCATATCTATTTCTGAACTATTATCTACTATCCTACTACTATTGTTACTTTTGGGGGCTTCCCTCCCCCCCCCCCATCCCTCTGGCTCTGGGATCTTTTCTACTGCTTTTATTAGCCTAACCCTTTACAGGAAGTCTTACCGGCACTCTCACCGTCTTCATCTATACTTCCCAGTGTCAGACCTCTTTGCGGCCTTTTCCCGCCTTATGCGTCATTCGCACGTCATTTTTCGCCTCGCGAATGGCACTTTCTGTTCACCCATTCGCATAGGCTAGTTTCCTTTGCCGAACGCCTAGCGCTTGGCAAAACTCCCGAGAACGCCTTGTATTAGGCGCTCACGTTCGCGCGTATTAGCCGAATGCTCGCACCACCTATTGGTGCTCGCGTTCAGCTAATTCGTACGCACGGCGTTCGTGTAATTTTTGCCACCCTTTCATCTAGGGGAGGTACTAAACCTCCCATTTCTTACTGCTTTCAGTCCGGCGGCCAATTTAAAACGGCTACTACTGTCCTGTTGCAGTCTCCAGTCTATTACTCCTGCCAGATACTCTGGAATACACTCCTGAACTCTGCATCCTTATTAGCTCACTGTGGGACCAGTATCAGGTTAGTGCTTTGCACTTTGGGTCGGTATCAGCCAGTTGGATTACCCTTATTCTGGCAGCGGTGAGTCCCCATTCATGTGCTGCTGAATGGACCTGTCTATGCAGGATTCCAAATTCCTGGGTGAGCCCCAGTGACAGCCCTCGCTTGACCTACCAGTCATATAACGCTTTCAGGTAAACTATTACCTATTTCTATACCACCCCCTGGTCCCCAGGCCTCTCCATTTTGTGCCACAAGTGTCCTCACTCATATTCACAGGGTGAGCCCCGAGTGTGATTAACAACATGGAAGAATCCCAAAATCCCTCAGCTCTCCAGGCCATGATTGCAGCAGCGGTAGCTGCGTCCATGGAAAAGGCTTTGGCTTTTGGAAGTCGTTCCAATTGGAACAAGACGCATCTAAGCCCATTCCCAAACGGGCTCATTATAGGGCGGATTCTGAAGACTCCGATTCCTCCAGGGAACGCTCCCACCCCCCTAAGCGCCATTGGAAAGGCGAGGCTATGGGACCACGTAAATCCAAAGGAAAGGCCCCTGCTAAACGCAGACGAGACACGAGCAGATCGTCCCAAAAACACGCTCAGGCTTCCTCTGGGGAAGAGGACGCAGGTCCACCACACGCTCTAGCCGTGGTTGATGAATGGCAGATGGCTGCCTCCGACCAGGAGGAGTCCGACTGGGACTCCGCTGCCAAGTCTGACCCTTATCTCATAGGGGAACAGACCCTGGGTGAGCCCCAGGACTCCGTGGCCACAACCATGGACACCCCACAAGAGGGTTCAGAAATATTTTTGGACAATTCTGGCCTCCGAATGTTCGATCCTAGGAACATTCGCCATCCCTGTTCGGAAGAATGGACGCCACCCGAACATTTGACCAGATTCATGCACTTCTGGCTCCGGAAGTCTCTGGACAAAGAAGTGAGAAAGCGTGTGAGATCTGAATGTCCTCGCCCGAGCCTACCAGATAAGGTAGCACACACCCCCGAATTCAACCCCCTTATGACCACATTCATGTCCTGCGGGGGTCGGGACCCACGCAATGGCGTGGAACGTGGCTTTAAGGGAGCCCAGGACAAACTACTAGACGTCATCGGGCCATTGGCGAGGATCATGGACATGGCAGATGATGCCTATGAAAGGGCTGATGACTTCTCCCCAGATATGGTGCATGAGTGGGCACGGGATACCCGAGAGTGGGCACAGAGGTGCTTCTGTTTCCTCGGGAACACTAATGTGGCCCTCTCTTCGGAGAGGCACCGAGCAGCACTTTTCAGAATTGATGACAAGCTTGTCGAACTGGGGGATAAAGAATTGGGCCCCTTGGGACAGGGCAAATTGTTTGGAGAGGCCTTCCTTACTGAGCTTAACAAGAGGGTCAATATATTCACATCCCTCAATAAGGCACAAACGGCAATGCGGAAAGTATTCCGCGGCCATAACACCCGTGGTGTTTTTGGGAGGGCTGGTCGGTAGAGGGGCCGTGCCACCAGCCGCTTCTGGCCATCCGGCCCCCGCACAACCAGGACACAATCATTCTACACAGATTCATCTGCCCGCCATTGATTCCATCAGTTCGGGGGATTGGACCGTGGCCGTGTCGGCCGAGGACGCTCCAGAGCTAGATTCTCCAACGGTAAGTTACCATCCTATACTACCTCTAACCCCTTGCCATATCGCAGGTCGTGTTTCTCTTTTTTTCCAGAATTGGGCAGACCTATCCTCCGACACATGGATACTTCAGACGGTGCGGGGCTATCAAATAGAATTCGAGACCAGGCCACTCCAACAGGCCCCACCACGCCCGATTCAGTTTTTACGGGCGGACACTTCTTTGATAGATACAGAACTTCAGGACTTACACTCCAAAGGTGCCATCCAACTAGCTCTGGACTCAACCGGGTTCTACAGCAATATCTTCCTGGTCAGGAAGAAAACTGGGGAATTCCAACCCGTCATCAACCTCAAGGAGCTCAATTCCTACATGGTGTACCGCCACTTCAAAATGGAGGGTATCCATCTTCTCCGGGACCTACTGCAAGACAACGACTGGTTTACACGTCTAGACCTAAAGGACGCATACCTCACCCCTCATCCCTGTGCACGAAAGGAGCCGCTCATATCTCCGTTTCTACTGGCACAGGACACCTTGGCAATTCACATCGACATCTTGATATTCGACGAGGATGCAAGGACCCTAAAGAGGCACACAGACTACGCAGTACACCTACTCAACTCACTGGGCTTCGTTATCAACGGCCCCAAGTCATCACTGACTCCCGCTCAGTCGATTGAATTCCTTGGGTTTGAGATAGACTCAACATCGTGCACTCTACGCCTTCCGGCCGCAAAAATTGCCACCATCCGCAGAGAAATTCGGAAGGTACTTCGACTGACATCCATTTACGACTGCTAGCACGGATCGTGGGCCTCCTTTCGTCATCCATCCAGGCCATCTTTCCTGGACCCCTACATTACAGAGCCATGCAACGCCTCAAGACAAAGTTCCTTCGCAAAGACCCAACATACGACCAACCGGTCCCCATGTCGGACGAGGTTCGGGAGGAACTGCACTGGTGGCTGAACTGCATGCAGGCCTGGAACGGCCGGGCGATATTCGGAAACCAACCAGACTTCATATTGGAGTCAGACGCCAGCCGCTCAGGCTGGGGAGCAACAGACGGCACCTCCTCCACGGGGGGAGTGTGGACTCCCCAAGAACTTTCGATGCACATCAACTGTCTGGAGCTCCTGGCGGGATCATTCGCCATTCGCAGTCTGGCAAAAGAACGATCCAACTGCTTCATCCTGCTCCGGATGGACAATGTCTCGGCGGTAAGATACATCAACCGACTCGGAGGCACCCGCTCCCAAGCACTAGTAGAACTCACGAAGGGAATCTTCGATTATTGCCTGCCTCGCAACATCATGCTGTTAGCGGAACACCTACCAGGAGAAAACAACACGACAGCGGATTGGTACTCACGCCACTGGAGGGACGCCAGTGACTGGAAACTAAACCCTCATATTTTCACAATTCTGGATGCACAAAGGGGTCCCTTCTCCCTGGATTTATTCGCCTCCCGCAACAACCGTCAGACGAAGGACTTCTTCAGTTGGCTCCCAGATCCGGAGAGTCTAGCAACGGACGCGTTCCTACAACAATGGCCACAACACGGGGCTTACGCATTCCCTCCATTCTCAATTATTACGAGGGTTCTCCACCGAGTCCGCATGCAGAGGGTGATACTGACCCTCATCACACCTCTATGGCAAAGCCAACCATGGTTCCCGGATCTTCTGGAGCTGTCGAACAGGGATCCCCTCCTCCTACCAGATACTCCGACCATTCTCAGGAACCCGATGGGACTACCCCATCCGCTGGTCAGGGAGGACCGGCTTCCCCCTGGTGGCCTGGACTCTTACAGGGATTCCTGGCGAACCGAGGATTTATCGCAGGAAACTAGGGAGCTCCTAGGAGGTGCTACTTATCAGCATGGCACTGCTGGACAACTTGGTGTCTGGGACGGGATCTCAATCCCTTTACGGCACCTATTCCCTCCATCATGAATTTCCTCACCTCTCTGTTCACAGCCGGGAAGTCATACCGATCCATCAACGTGATACGTTCAGCCATCTCAGCGGCTCATATGCCGACTCAAGGGACAGTGGGCCAGAACCTACTCATCTGTAGACTCCTCGGTGGCATACGCCTTCGGCGTCACCCAGAGCCCAAATACTCAAGACTTTGGGACGTTGGCATAGTCTTACAGTTTTTACGGGACTGGCCTCCTAACGAGAACTTATCACTCCGCCAGCTTACGGCAAAGTTCACCTTCCTACTCTGCCTAGTCTCCTTTCGTCGGGTGTCCGATGTACGCACTTTTGATGCCGACGCATTTACCTTTTGCCCAGCAGGAGTAACCTTTCAGGTCTCTAGGCGCACGTAATCTGACTCTTCCTCTGTTTTTTACCCCTTTTTTCCCTCAGACCCTCAGCTATGTGTGGTCTCTACTCTTCGTCGATACGTGGAAGCCACCGCGACGTTGCGGCCTACTTCCAATCATCAACTTCTCATCTCTTACGTCCGCCCCTATGCTCCAGTCTCAGTTACTACGTTGGCCAGATGGGTTAGATGGCTATTAGCCCTTGCCGGGATAGACCAGGCTTTTGGAGCACACTCAGTTCAAGGGGCTGCGGCCTCTTCCGCCTACGCGGCAGGGGCCTCCCTTCCAGATATTTTACGAGTGGCGGACTGGACTAGAGAATCCACCTTTAGGACGTTCTACTTCCGTCCTCCATCTAATCCAGCTTTTGCTCTACTTTCTCAGCGTTGAAATTGCAAAATACGAAGCCTCCTGTCATGTGATAAAATTGAAGATTATGCTAGCTTCAGTGTACAGATAATCTTAATTTTAATAATGACAGGAGCGAGTATTTTCCCTCCCTGCTCTCTTTCGCTCTTCCCCCCCCCCCCTGTCTTCATGTATATTTCTATCTCTATTCACATGTTATTATTGTGCTAATGCCTAAATTGGTTTTCTCACACTTAATACAGATATACCATATGGGTGGGATTGTTTAGTTCTGCATTGTGATCTTGTGATGTTGCATGCTTTAAGAGGAAATGATGTCATACGTTACACCTCTTATACTCTACACTGCATTGTGATTGGTTCTCAGTTATGTCACTCTTTTCTTTGCTGCTATGGAGTTAGTAAAGAAAGATTATGCAAAATACTCGCCTCCTGTCATTATTAAAATTAAGATTATCTGTACATTGAAGCTAGCATAATCTTCAATTATAAAACATGTTACAACAAATTTGTGCTATATAAAGCTCACTGCTATATTAACTATACCTCTGCATCACTCTTTGTTTAAATATTAGATATTTTGTAGCTACTTTAACTCTTTCAGCAGGTATACAACACAATTTGGGATTCCACAAAAAAAAGTAGAAAACTAAATGTTCAGCATTATAGTGTTAACAGATATATAACAAACTACAGTGATAATTCCCATTTATTGCTAGCAGATATTTAGATAAATCTACTTTATTAAATGACACTCAGATTATAAACTGTGTGAGATGCACTCTTATTCTAATATACGTTTCTATATTATGGTATCTATATGAGTACTTGTCTTAACTAGTCTTTCGTTTTACTGTAATATAATCTGTAAATCACACATATCAGCCGTTTTATATATAGATACACACACCTATACATACATGAAAAAGTGCATCAGAATTCCCAGCAGTCTCCCCGATCCATGGGGTTTTTGTAGGCTAGTTGGAGAGATGGAGATTCAGAGACGTTGGAGGATAAAATGGAGTGAGCGATATGTAATTTCTCAGTCTGTGTTTATGAAATACCTCCAAACCAGTTTGGCAACCTCGCTGGCCTTTAGTAGAAAGCAGCAGAGATAAAGAAGGAATGAAAACTTGACTGGCTAAACCACAGGTCTTTAAAAAACAATAAATCATAACAGAGAGATCTGTATGGACGACTCCAGTTTAATAACCACAAAAAAAACGGGTTTGACAAGCTCCTTATTGCTCCTATACCTAAATGCATTCTGTCTTACCTTTAACCTTTACAAAGCTATTTATTTACACAAGCAAGCTGCACCAGGCAGCCATCTTATAGATAAGGGATGTTTGTTTCAACCGATTGCATTTCCATTATCCCCTGTTGAGGTGAGATTTATACAAAATGTATGATAATTGACCAAACGTCCTGTTTTACACTCCTCTTTTGCAGAGACAACTTAAAGGGATTCTCCAGTGCCAGGAAAACAAACCCGTTTTCCTGGCACTAGAGAATCCTGGAGTGCTCCCTCCCTCCTGCCCCTCATCTCATGTCGCTGAAGGGTCTAAAACCCCTTCAGCTACTTACCTGAACCCAGCACAATGTCCCTCGGCGCTGGGTCAGGCTTCACGCACGCTCCTCCCCCGCCGACGTCAGCCGGGGGAGGAAGCCTAATGCACATGCGTGGCAATTGCCGCTCGCGCATCTTAGACCTCCCCATAGGAAAGCATTATTCAGTGCTTTTCTACGGGAAAAATCTGACGCTGGAGGTCTGTGAGTACGTGAAGCGTCAGATAATGGACCAAAAGTGCATTTAGATTCCGGAAGCGCCCCCAGTGGCTGTTTTGTAGACAGCCACTGAAGACTGACTTAGAGCTGCAATGTGAACATTGCAGTTCTCTGGAACTGCAATGTTTTACATTGCAGCACTAAGTGCAAAAGGGTCACAGCACCCAGGCCACTTCAATTAGCTGAAGGTCCCATAGGGCATTAAGGTCCCATAGGGCACTAGGATACCAGCTTGCCCCCCCCTCCACTTTTCCCCCTTCATTCTTCACATAGGGATGGTTAATTGGGCCAGGCAAATTCATGGTTCTGGGACCCATGTCTAACCCCCTGGCCCTAGACAGCGTCCTTGGTCTCTACAGTTGATGTTACATAACATCTTAGGGAACAAATTAAGGGGATTTCCAGTTCCTCACTTCTCCTTTGTGCACCCTCTATGGTGATACCAGAAGTTGGAATATGATGTCTCTCTGGCCCTGGCATCACTCAACTGCATGAGGAAGCAATGAGAAACTGTAAGATTACAGGGTCCCCACTGGACCTTTCTAAAGGTAGGGAGGCTAGGTAGGCCTACAAAAATACAAATAAAACAAGAAATAATATTAATTTGTGTGCGTGTGTGCAAAAATGTGTATATGTGTGACTGTGGCTGATAGGAGTTGACCTCCGACCCACACACTACACAGTCCTGTACCTTCTGTGAGTAAATTTGTATATATATTTTATCTACAATAAAGTTAAACAGAGAGCACTATGGCCCTGTTTTTGTCATTCTAGGTCTATTGGATACTGATGACATTTTCCATTCAAAGCATCCCATATTGACTTGCTACACATGCATCAACTTATTTTTACACTTGGAATTATAGTTTGAAACTATATTACTTCAGCAATTAATATAGGTATGCTGTATGTACTATATCAGGATTCAGGAGTCCTTATATCAAGTGATACATCCAGCTGATACATTTTAATACATTGTGGATAGGACTACATTGACTTTTATCTACATTTTTTTGAAATCACTTTATTGCTGCTTTATATATACTTGAACTTTGACCTACACCCTATAAGAACAATAAGAACTTTTTTTCTATATATATCCCCACTCCTTGTCGTTACATGAGTTTTTACTTTTTACTCTTATAGAAACATGCATGTCTGGACTGGACATTTGCAATGAGGAGTTAGTAAGTTGACCACACCTACCTGAGAGTCTTAGAGAAAAATTCTGCACCCAGGCATCTGTGACCCTAGGATCAGCCCTATCTGTATAGTAGTGTGTGTAGCAGTTCTTATTGACTAAGTGTGTGTATACCAGTGTTTGCATACTGTTGTCTGACTGTGTGTGTCATTGTGTATATACTTTGTCTAAGGGTGTTTCAGGGCATGTATGCTGTGTCTGAGTGTATCAGTGTGTGCATGCTGTGAGTGTGTGTGTGTGTCATTGTACGTCCACTGTATCTGTATGGGTGTCATCAGAGAAAAATACCAGCCTTTGCATTGGTGGTATTTTTGGACTTTTGGCACCAGACAGACAGCCTCAAATACCAGCTGTGCTGGTAAAATACCCATTAGGTGGCAATCCTAACTGTGTCTCCTTATGGTTAATCATCCTATGCTCCTTTGCACCACAGAGAGACCCAGGAGGATGCATGTTCTTTGTAAGTGAGTTGGTTTGATCAATCAAAATTGGATACATGGAAAGTTGTGCTACGCTTATGCAATTTAAATTCTAATTAAAAGCACCATAAATATAATATACATTTAAATAATGAATATATTTTTGATATTTCTTTTGCTGTACCCTAGGAATTAGAGCAAGAAAACTAAGCAAAGCATTTAAAATAGTTGTTTTGGATTTTCCAAGAGAATGCCAGTCATTTTTTATTTGTTTCAACACACAAAAATGTAGAGATAATGCTAATATGGGCAGATCACTGATCCTCTCTAAATACTTTTGAAGAATAGTAATGCATATATCTCTAAAATATTTTTTTAGGATTTGTCTGGCCGAGTCGTAGAAATTTACCAAACACATGCTAGACTTGTGCATATCAAAAAATATTGGTCCGCACAGACCGAATTTTATCCATGTGGCTTTTCAGTGACACAGTTATTCTGAAGCTGTGTTAACCTTTCTTCTAGACATAACTTAGCTCCCAAACCATGGCTCCTACTCTTCTGATGTCTATCATTGCAAGCAATCTATTCTACAGCAATACAATTCACACACTATATCAATAATCTAGGGTTGTTTGTTAGTTTGTGTGTGAATGCAGAAGTGTATACTTGCAAAAACAGAATATTCAAGGATATAATTTTTCAGTGTAGGGTAATAGCTGCTTGATCCAAGGATAAATCTGACTGCCATTCTGGGGTCAAGAAGGAATTTTTTCCTAGTTTGTTGCAAAATGGAAAGTGCTTCAAACTGGGGTTTTTTTTGCCTTCTTTTGGATCAACAGCAAAAAACATGTGAGGAAAGCTCTCTTTTCAGCTATGTAACTATGTATATGTAAGCTGTCAGTATGTGTGTAGTTTTTTGAAGTAAATGTACGGATGCCTATTTTTTGTGTCATCTCTTCATTTGTTCATTTGTCAATTCCCCTTTCTCCCATTAATGCCATTCCCTATGACACTTCCCTTTCCCAAATTGCATTAACACTGTCCATTGTCATTGCCTTCATACTACATACTTGCCATTAGTGTCTTTTCCTCTCCATGTTTCACGTGCCTTTCCATCTCCTTGCTCTTAATGTCACTTATTCTTCCTTGTTTACTATATCCTCATCCTAATTATGCTTTATTATCAGGGGAATTGTCTTCTCCCTTGGGTCTACCACCATGGAATATAGTTGCAGGTAGCTGTGCTTCATTAAGTTCTACATACAGATCTCTTATGTTTCAGTGGAAAATCTCTAATAAGACAGAGAGGGGTATTTTTCTACACCCCCACATACTTATTAACCCTTAATAGGGAACACGAGGGGTGCATGGCAGCACTGTAACTTGTCTGTGTAATAGAAAAGCATATAGTGTGCAAATAACGTTTTTTGTTTTTTATTGTATGTGTAGGTGCGGATGTGTACCATAATCATTGGTGCCACCCAGTTGTAGTGGGAGTTTGAGCACAGAGCATAATGTTGTGCATTTGCTTTTTTATTACAGAGCCATGTTACAGTGCTGCCGCCCACACCATGTGTTCCCTGTGAAGGGTTAATAAGTGTGAAAATACCCCTCTCTGTCTCATTAGAGATGTTGCCTTAAAGCGGAGGACAGCAAATTGGGTTGTTACTGTACGACTCCTCTAGGAGGTTTTGCCTTGGCATGGCAGGTGAGCTTCATTAAATGGACATTGGTGTGATACCAAAAAAAACTTCAGTTGTTTAGACGAGAATAGGGATTTGGGATATTGTAGGTATTAGGGCTACTATGTACCACAGTCACTGTTCCCATGAGTAGTGGGAGTTTGAGCTCAGGGCTTATTTGTATTAGTATAAAAATGTCATCTAATTGCATTAGATATACTGTCAGGAGTTCTCTGTCAGTGTCATTTCATTCAGTGTTAAACAATTGTCAAGCAATTTAACACTAAAAAAGAGTTTCCGGCTAACACACTTCCTTCTAGCCACTGGCAGAACTGCCAGCATTGCAGACGGTGCAGATGTACCGGCATGGCCAGGTTAAGAGCCCATTGGGCTTGGTGCTGACATTTATGATGGACCTAATTACAGAATAGACAGAAAACAATAAAACAGTCATACCTTGCAAGCGTCATGTATCTGATAGAGGTGGTGCTGGAAGGAATCCCACAGGATATAGCTATCAGAAAACACATAAAAAAGAGGGGTAGATCAGTGCTAAACAGACCGAATACAAATGAGTAGAAGGTAGCACACCTGATAGCAGGGGAATCCCTTTAACCCATACTTACAGAACTGACAGAAGTCAAACAAAAATACAGGTAGCACCAAGAATATTACAAATATAGGTGCATATGTAAAAACATTAACATATACACAGAATATATATTAAAAGAGTCCACAATAAAACCTAAATTAAAAATATAAAAAAATACTAAATGGTAAGACAGTCTCAGAGGAAGCAACACGTCTTCTAGTTGTTTTATGGTACTTATTGGGTAGTCTCGGTTGATAGCAGCATATGAAAAAAGACAAGCCGAACCAATAGTGCAATTTGGTCGTAGAGAGTAGGACAGGCAACACTTAAAACTGATGTCAACTCACATATGATAGAGCTATATCCAGCTCTAGGTAAAACAGCTTGCAGTGGTTTATAATCCCTACTTGTATGATATCTGTTATGTTTGTAAATAAAGTGAAAGTGGAACACAACTGAAGATTTAATTTGGGAGTGTATCTTTAAAATAAATAATTTTCTAGCAGTACTTGGAAAGTTGAGTTTCCTTGTTTATTTATAAAGTCCAAAATTAATAATCAGGAGTGCTATTGGAGTGAAATAATTTGCTGAAATTACCAAAATTAGTTTGAGCAGTAATTAACAACCATTTACTGAATTTAAAGGACCACTATAGTGCAAGGAAAACATACTCGTTTTCCTGGCACAATAGTGCCCTGAGGGTGCCCCCACCCTCAGGGTCCCCCTCCCGCCGGGCTGGGTGGCGAGGAAAGGGTTAAATCTTACCTTTTTTTTTCCAGCGCCGGGTGGGGAACTCTCCTGCTCCTCTCTGCCTCCTCTCCGCCTCTTTGGCTGAATACGCATGCGCGGCAGAAACTGCGCGCGCATTCAGCCAGTCTCATAGGAAAGCATTCATAATGGCGTCTTCTCACTGTGATTTTCACAGTGAGAAGCACGCAAGCTCCTCTAGCAGCTGTCAATGAGGCTTTAGAGGCTGGATTAACCCATTTATAAACATAGCAGTTTCTCTGAAACTGCTATGTTTATAAAAAAAGGGTTAATCCTAGAGGGACCTGGCACCCAGACCACTTCATTAAGCTGAAGTGGTCTGGGTGCCTAGAGTGGTCCTTTAATCAAACAAGTAGCAACTTCTACAAATGTATGGTATAATAAGCAATTGGATAAAGTATCAGTCTTAGCAAGGAGCAAGTTGAAGGTGAATTGAAACAATAAAACATAGTTGCAGGAATGATTAAATGTAGCTTGTATTAAGCACAATAATTACTTGGAATACTTAGCGAAGTCCAGGCACTTGAGAATGGTTAATGAACAGTCCGAGTCAGTGGAGTAAAGAGATCAGCATGGTCAGTTAGATATTCCATGTCAAATCGTTAAGTAGAGGAGTCGGGGTCATATAAATTCTTATGGGTTATCAAGGATGATTTGAGGTTTTCCTTCAGGTTATCAAAGAGTGTATTCATTTCAGAGATTTGAACAGAACAGCTGGATGATTATTGATAGCAGCCTCCGTGGGAAAGGAGGTTTGGATGGAACCCATAGTAAGAATAAAAAGGAATCATTTTTGTGCTTGAATGTTTTCAGTTATTGTAGGCAAATTCGGCAAGAGGAAGCCATGTGAACCAATCATCCTGGAGATATGTACGATAACAACGGAGGTATTGTTCAAGACATTGATTTACTCTCTCTGTTTTTCCATTTATTTGAGGGTGATATGTTGATGAAAGTTTGCATTTTATTTGAAGGGTAGAACATAGCTCCTTCCAGGATTTTGAGGTGAATTGAGTTCCCCGGTCAGAAATAATCTCTTCAGGGAGTCCATGAAGCTTGAAAATAACCTGTGCTAGAGCGTCGCTGGACGTCCTCACGCGATGTGAGGACCTCCAGTGTCGCTCATTTCCCCATAGGAAAGCATTGATAAGCATTTTCAATGCTTTCCTATGGGGAGCTCTAATGCACATGCGCGGCACTTCCTTTCTAAGAGCCAGATGAATGTATATTTTATCCTCGTGATAATGAATACCCTCTCTCTCCTTTAATGTAGGTTTAGTTCATCAGGAGATAGTCTCCTTAGTTCATCCATAAACTAGGATTTTGTTATTAGGAACCTACTTGGAGGAAGAATAGTTGTAGGTTTGATTTCAATCGAAAGACTATGAGAAATTCTTAATAAAGTGTCTGCTTTCTTATTCCTGGAACCAGGCCTGTAAATTATGTGAAAATTAAAACATTAAAAGAAAAGGCTCCATCGGACTTGTCAGGCAGACAATGTTTTGTTTGTGTGTAGATATTCTAAGTTCTTATGATCAGTATACAGTACACGACTATAAGAGTTTCAATTAATTCTAGTAAATGGCGCCAATTATCAAAAGCAGCTTTTATCCCCAACAATTATTTTTCTCCAACTGGGTAGTTTCATTCTGGAGAAGAATGCTACGGGGTGTAGAGGCTCTTGAGGTGTTTGTTGCTGAGAAAGGACAGCTCCAATGCTTTATCTGAAGCATTTACTTCTGAGACATAGGGTAAGCATGGATTAGGTATTCTTAGTATAGGACCAGCTGTGAATCTTTGTTTTAGTTCATCAAAAGCAATCTGTGCCTCTTGGTTGCATGAAAAAGAAGTCTTTTGGCTGTTTAGATGACGGTTTCCCAAACTGTGGGTCGCCGGCTGATTTTTGGTGGATCGCGCTGACCCACGCCGGGGACTCAGGAGACAGTCAGACCCGACACCACGAGGGGGCCCAGTGGTTTGCAATATGTGCCGCTGGGTGTGTGGCCCATCTAAAACAGGGATAAATACTGCGCATCCTCCTGTCAGCTGCTCCCCCACTGCCATGGGCAGAGTTACTGCGGTAACGCTCTGAGACTTCATGTGCCAGAGCTTGTGAGACTATGTCTGCATGGTCTGCAGCTGGCGGAGCTACAGACAGGACAGCAAGCACCACCGGACCACTGGGGAGGAAGAAAGGAGAAGAGACCACTGGATCACCAGGGACTTCTCAAAAAAGTATTTTAATGGCTTTCACCTCCCTCACACTGTCACCCTCACCTCCCTCCCACTGTCACCCTCACCTCCCTCCTACACTGTCACTCCGATCTCCCCCCCATACTGTCATCCTCACCTCTGTCCCACTGTCACCCTAACCTCACCCCACATACTGTCACCCTAACCTCTGCCCCACTGTCACCCTTACCTCCTTCCCACACTGTCACCCTCACCTCCCTCCCACACTGTCACCCTCTCCCCAACTGTCACCCTCACCCTTCCCCACACAGTAACCCTCACCTCCCTCCCACACTGTCACCCTCCCCCAAACTGTCACCCTAAACTCCCCCACACCACCACCCTCACTTCCCCCACCTATCATCTCCTGTCTCTGTGTGTCAGTTTATCTGTGTGTCCTTTTGTGTCAGTATTGTGTGTCTGTGCATTTGTGTGTCTGTCTGTGTCTCTGTGTGTATTGTGTGTCAGTGTGTATCTGAGTGTCTGTGTATCTGTGTCAGTGTGTGTAACATATGTCATTGTGTTCGTCTGCATGTGTGCTGTGTAAGTCTGAGTATTTGTATGTCTGTGTATTTGCATGTGTGTGTCTCAGTTTGTGTGTGTGTCTGTGTGTCGTATGTGTTTCAGTGTGCGTATACACACCACACACAAATGCACTAAACCTACATGCACACCTACATACACTACACACAAATGCACATGTACATTCAAACACCTATATTTACACATTACTCCATACAAAAACATGCTTACATTCAAACACACTTTGTATATATGTATACATTTTTATATACACAATATACACACACTGCATCCACTACATAATTGGGTAGCCAAGATGG